TTTTTTTTTGAAATGAAATGTTTTATGATTGGAATTTCTCTTTTTAGCCCCACGATATTTTTTTTTCCAACACGCTTATGGGAAACCTTATAACTCTTTTTGGATTTAAGTGCACATTTTGAGTAGAGCTGAGGAACAGTTAAGTCTTTAGGACATCGTGTTCCAGGAAATGCGTCAATTCCCTCGGTTGTATGAAGTTCTCCCAAAGTCTTGGTCTCCAGATAGTTAAGGTCATCATCTCTGTTGTTACCCCAGTGTGCACCTGCCAGCCACGTGTTCTGACTACGACTGTAACAGCAGAAGGCTGACCAGAGCACTGAAGGAATATTTATCTTGTTGTTGTTCAGTAAGCTACTGTCAGTGCTCACACTGTCACTAGGTTTTGCTCCAATTACTACAAAGCCTTCTTTTTTGTTATTGTTGTTAATGCAGTTTTCATCCAGAAATTTTTTGACACAGAGCTCCATTTTTTTCCATTTTCCACGATTGAACCTTTTGTTTTGCGGAACAACGTTAGTCAAGGTAAAGGTAGATTTTTTCTCAGTTAAATCACACGCATAAGAGTTTGGAAATAAATGTCCTCTGTCAAACCCTTGCTGGTTGTAGGGGTTGTAATCAGTGTCTCCAGCCTGGTGTTCATAGTTGATGTTCTTGTCTGCTTGTCTCATATTGTCAACATCAGTTGGGTCTTCAAGCTTTAAAAACAGACAAAAAAAGAGTTGTTTAGTCAGCCATGCATGGCTGCTGGATAAGGACTAAATAAACATTTTATAACAGGTTGTATACAATTGTATAATCTAAACACAATATAGGTCAACTTAGGGTGTAAGCTGTACAAATTTTAATTGATTTTACAGTCCTATTTTCAAAGCAAACCTTAGTCTACAACAGGGGTGTCAAACTCAAGTACACAGTGGGCCAAAATTCAAAACTGGAACAAAGTCGCGGGCTAACGTTAATATTTATTGAAATATATTTATTCCTCCAGATATAAGAATGGACTCAAACACGTTTTGCTGAAAAACTGAATATGGAACAAGCAAAGCTTAATACTAAACAATATATATATTAGCTGTATAATACCAGTAGGCCAGCTCTAATAGTAATTTGGTATGGCTTCGCGGGCCAAATGTAATTAGGCTGCGGGCCAAATTTGGCCCGCGAGCCAGAGTTTGACACCTATGGTCTACAAGACTGCTGTTACATAGGAAATATACTAAACAATGCTCTGTCAGCGGTTGCAGTGTGGGTGAGGAAAGGAGGACCCAAACGCTGGACTCACAGGTAGGTGAAAGCTGGTGTTGATTGCAGATGAAATGAAATGAAAAAAACTGGAAATGGCTGGTTGACAGACTGATTGAATGACCAAAGCACAAGGTGTTAACCTAACATCAGCAATGACACGACCAAGAACCGATGTGAACTGAGGGTTTAAATGCAGGGACTGATGAGGATGATAGTGAGAGATATAATGAAACCGGAACATGAGGAAAAACAAACAGTGAGCACCAACTGAAAATACTGGGTGAACACCCAGGAACCCTGACATGCTCAGTTACAATGTCATGGGAAATTTATGTAGAGATCTCAGTAAATCATAAACAGGATCACTGAATAAGTGAAAGTTATTCTTAGCAAAAGCAGCTGATAGTTAGCACTGTGGAGCCTCAGCTATGATTTAAGTGGTTAACTAAGATTCACAGTAATAAATATATTTTATCTCATGTAGCACTACAGTGTCAACATGTTTTGTTACAGCTAAAAAAGATGTATTAAAACTGACACCTGTGGTTCAATCATCCATGGGTGGCTGGGTCTTCCAGCTGTGCTCCCTCTGAATTTTGCAGCAGAAAAAACTGGAATCTTGTTGTGGGTGTCGTACAGCGTCACAAATGTTCTGGTGTCGTCAAAAGTCTGGCAAATCAGTTTGTATCTGTTCTGGTCCAGGATATTCCCTCCCACCAAAATTCCCATGATTTTTGGCGGAGTTTGATCAAGAAAAAACTCCTCGCAGTCTTTCACTGATGTCACCACTTTAGTTTCAGTGGGAATGGTGGACAGAAGGAGGACAGCAGCGAGAGGCAGGAGGTGATGCATTATCAGCGAGCCTTGTGAAATCAGGTAACAGGAGAACAAATCTTAAGACATTAAGTATTACACATACTTCCTTTACGTCTTTTATCATACACACAAAGTGTCAGATTATGAAGTTGGCGAATAAAATGTAATTCTACTAAAGTTTTATTCTGTATTTCATGTTTGAAATTTTTGGAATAAACATCTAAATACTGTGGCAACAAAATGTATTTTGGCTTAAGAGAAAGTTCAGAAAAAGTACTATAGTAACAAGGTCCAGAAACACTAACTGGCATAACCGTTTATCTATGTTAATTCTTTAATGCTGTTAATTTGGGTGTTCTTTATTTTCTTTATTTTAACTTTGAGTTGTTTTACATCAGTGATGGTATGCTTTTTGTTTGCTTGTCATGTTATAAAAAGTCCTGTTAATTTGTCATGTTATTAAATGGCTTATTTGGATTTCTGTAACTCAACACCTAAAACAATGACTGATATGGAGATATAAGAGAAACAAAGCAGTTCTTACCGTTTCAGATTTACTTCATAGGTGCACAGAGCAGTGGAAATACGATAGTCTGTGCAGTGCAGAGTCATCCTCCTTTAATATAAATTAAGCTCAAAGAGGAAGTCAATATTTACTCAGCAGTTTGTCAAAGGGTGTTAATCATGATTGTTATCAGTTTTACACTGTATTCAAAACATCTATGGTCACCAGTGACCTGTCATAGCTTCCTTTTTCTCTCTCTTTGAACAAATAACACAGGTGGAGCTGTTACAGAGACAGTA